GAGGTCTCTTTATATTTATAGTTAGCCTTCCGTGTCCCAGGGTTCTGTATCTGCAGATTCAGCCAATTGTAGATCAAAATAGGTGCTTTGTAGATCAGCCTGTGACACTCACCTCTGTACTGGGTGTGTTCCCACTTTTTTTCTTGTCATTATTCCCCTAACAATAACAGCTATTTGCATTGTTCATTGTATTACAAAGTGTATATATATATGTATGTATATATATATATATATATATATATATATACACATACACATTCTATTATAAGTAATCTGGAGATGATTTAAAGTATATAGGAGGATTATATAAGTTCCATGCAAACACTGCAGCATTTATCTAAAGGACTTGAGCCTCATTGGGTAGGAACAGTCCTAAATACACTGTGTGCGTACCCAGATACAAGTGTACTTTCTTCGCATAGATTCCCGCGGAGTCATCAAAACATCATACAGAAATGCTCTGTGTTAAAATGTGCGTGCTCTATATACTGTGTTTTTGTGAAGAATTCACACCAGTTTATTTCATGAACACACTGCCGGATACAAGATTTCTTGTTCTTCACAGCTCTTGGCATTTTCTTTTCCTCTTCACTTATTCAATAAACAAAAAAGATTTAATAAAAGTCTCTTTTCTGATTCAAAGATTGAAGTAAGTAATGAAAGTAGTTGGAGGATTTTTTATTACCTTTTTTATATATATATATGTTTATTTTTACATCATTTTGTTTATTTTTCCATCTCAATTGCAATCCCCTTGAGCTTCCCATCACCAAATCACCCATGTGCCATCACCATAATTCAGTGTATTTCCCTCCCCCCACTGTTTTTGATCCCATTCCCCCACTCCACCCCCACAAAATATCTCTGGTATATAGCTGTTCATCATTGTCATTATTTTCTCGCCTGTTCTGTTATATTCCTGCTGTGAGAGAAACCATCCGGTATTTTTCCTTTTCTTTCTGGCTTATTTCACTAAGCATGATCTTCTCCAGCTCCATTCATGTTGCTGCAAAAGACATGTGGTTTTTTTTTGGTTGCTGAGTAATATTCCATTGTGTATATGTACCACATCTTTTTAAACCAGTCATCCATTTTTGGGCATTTGGGTGTTTCCATGTCTTTCCAATTGTGAAAAAAGCAGCAATAAACATGGGGGTGAGGGATCTTTTTGAATCAGTGTTTTTGTGTCTTTTGGGTAGATACCTAGGAGTGGGATTGCTGGGTTGTAGGGAAGCTCCATGTTTAGCATTTTGAGGAACCTCCAGTTTTCCATAGTGGTTGTACTAGTTTGCATTCCCACCAGCAGTGCAGGAGTGTTTCTTTTTCTCCACATCCTCACCAACATTTGTTGTTGCTAGTTGTTTGAAGATGTGCCATTTTCACTGGGGTGAGGTGGTATTCATTGGGATTTTAATTTGCATCTCCCTTATTACAAGTGATATTGAACATTTTTTCATGTGCTTCTTGGCCATCTACATTTCCTCTTTGGAGAAATGTCTTTTTAGCTCTTCTGCCCATTTTTTGATGGGGTTGTTTATTTTTGTTGAGTTTCATCAGTTCTCCATATATTTTTGTGATCAGTCCTTTATTGCTAGTTTTGTGTGAGAAAATTTTTTCCCAATCAGTGGGGTGTCTGTTGTTCTTGTATTATCTCTTTTGCTGTACAGAAGCTCTTTAATTTGATGTAGTCCCATCTATTTATCCTTGCCTTCACTGTCGTTGCATTGGGTGCTCTATCTTTAAAGATGTCACCGAAGTGTATGTTGTGTAGTGTTTGGCCCATCTTTGCTTCCAGGTATTTTACAGTTTCCGTCCTTATGTCTAGGTCTTTAATCCACTTCGAGTTGATTTTTGTGTATGGTGAGAGGTAGTGATCTAGTTTCATTATTTTGCATGTAGCTTCCCAGTTTTCCCACCACCATTTGCCGAACAAACTTTCTTTGTTCATTGTATCTTCTTTGCGCCTTTGTCAAAGATTAGCTGTCCATAAACCTGTGGGTTTATAGTTGGAGGATTTTTAAATTGCCTCTGCCCTGCCCTGATTGAAAGTGCAAATACCTCCTCTGAACTCAGTAGTTACAGGAGTTCTACTAAAAGATACAGACTTTGGACAGAAGTGGAAATCAAGTTGCATTTTCATAGAGCAGTTGAAGAGACTTAACTTTGACCCCACCCATTTAGGACAGCTCAAACTGAATCATTAGACTGTCTTCATGATCATTTAGTATTGCCCACAGGGACTAAAACCCCCAGAGGGACTGGCCTGCTAGTCATTTCTGTGCCCATTAATATTCCTGTTTTTGTTACAGTGAACACACTAAAAAAGTGCATCTCTTGAATAAATGCAACACAGTTTATTAAAATTTTCTAGACATAGAACCAAGAATTGATTGGATACAGTTCTGCATGATTGCACCAGAAACAAAACATGAGCAGCATAAATGAAACACTGAATTTACTGAAGAAAAATCTGTTTCAAATCTAAGAAAATGTATTAATATGTAGAAAGTGGAATTCAGATTATTAATGTGTTTGTTTTCTGCCATTTTGTGGAGTTAGTACTTTTTCTTGTGTGGTGTTTAGAAAAAGATAGATGTCACTGCTCAGAAGATAAGCCAATAATTTCTTGGTTTATTGCTGGTGAAATCTTTTTTAAATTGACAGTATGGTAAAATTGTACATTAAATTGTAATTATGTTTAAATGGAAATGTTGCCGCAGAGGCCAAAGATTTGAGAGTTAACTAACTCAAATGCCTTATTGAAACCCAGTTTTCTTCTGGAAGAACTGGGAATTGGATTTTGTTTTTATTTCAGTTTGCTTTTGTGTTGCTGTTAGCTACTGGGATTATAAGTCTATACTGTTCTTCCCCTCCTGCCTTCTCCCTACACTCAGTGAGACAAATCCCAGCACAGAAATGGGTGGGTGGTGGAAGTAGAGATATCAAGTCAGCACACAACATTCTGCCAAGTAGACAATGTTTTAAGAGCCCACCAAAGTCTTTTCTCTTTAATAGAAATGCCTAATATGAACACCAAAAATGTTCAAGAGGCAAGAATTAGTTTACTAGTAAGAATTTCGCATGAAAAGGTTTAACTATACCTAAATTCCCTTCTAAAATCAAAAGGCAGTCGTTGAAAGTTCAACATAATCTTGTTATTGACAGTTTTCTAAATGACAGTGTAAGTAATAAAACAGTTGGTGAGCTGAAGCAGTAGAACGGAGGGCTAAGATTTCAAAGCTGTTGCTTCACATATTCATGCTTAAGAGTTCAGGAGCATACTTTAAAGTTGCCCGTTCTCTAAAGCTGGCAAGGCCTCAGTCACACGCCCTTTATTGGACAGGAACAAGCTGAAAGCCGGGTATTTAATGTCGGTGGAGTCTTCTGAAGGTTTCCTGGATGAAGTCGGGTGCCAAGCTCTAGTCGCTGGTTCATACACACCACAAAGCACAGTCCTTCAGCAGATTGACTCAGTAGCTGACGCAGACGTCATAAAGGTAAGCAAACATAAACTTACCATTCAAAGTGAATGACTTCGCTGATGACCCAGTTTCAGGAGCATGTTCGCTGCCTTGGCGTCACGGGCTGGGACTCTCTTGCTGTTAGGTGTGGCAGGAGGCTCACGGCATCAGATCTGCAAGACAGCCTCCTGGTCAGCCCTGGTGCCTGTACTGTGCATTCTGCTAGATTACTATCAGTTGAGCCGATTTAAGTTCTTCGTAGTCAGGACCACTCACATGTGGGTAGTTTCCTATGATTCAGCCTAATAATCAAGTTTGATTCTTATTCTTCCTCACTGCCCTGCCAATCTTTCACAACCTAGGACCTCAAGATTTTCTTACAACAATCTCCTGTTCTCCCTACTCTTTTTTTCCCCATGTTATTGTCTGTCTTATACCTCTTTATATTCTACTCTCTGACATGCTTAAGTGCAGACTACAGAGTGAATCCACAGTCAGCGGCTTTTCCCAGGGCTTTCTAGAGTGAGATATGCCGCCTCCTCTCCACTACACCTCCTCTCCTCTCTATCTCCACCATCTTCTCACCAATAGCTTCTCCTTGTGGGGTTAGAAAAGAGACAAGGCTATTTGTAAGATGGTAACATTGACTTGATGTTAGTTGGCCGCTAGGTTCACCTAATTTACTCGCCAAATTGCTGTCCTCGTCTTACAAACTGTTATGTGATTCCAGCCCACTTGCCTCTCCTAGCCCTCTCCATGAGAAACAGCCACCCAGTACAGGTGCTCAGTGCTGACCTGAACCTAACGCAGCCTCAGGTTTAAAGTTCCACATTTAAGGGAACGGTCTGTTCTGACCTCGACTGTTTGCTGTGGTGACACAGCCCGAGGCCCACTCTGCCCGATTCTGCATGTCCGTGAGGTCTTTCCTGCCCTTCTAACGCATGCTTTCACATCTAGAGCGCACACGTGCCAGTCATACGTACAGTGGGACAGTCGGGAACCGCAGGGCTTTTCCTCCTGCATCATCACAATTCACATCAAACACCAGCCCCCTCCCTGTGGTTAATTTTACAAGAGGCGGTCAGAAAGTCACTGATTTGGAACGTCTGTCCATACACTCGAAAGAAACAGGATAAGTAAGTTGACTGCTTGCTAAGACATTTTCTTACTTCTATTAATGTTATGCCTTTCGTGTTTGTTTCCTCAAAGGCTGCAAAGAAGTTCGTTTCTGGCCAGAAGTCAATGGCAGCAAGTGGAAACTTGGCGAATACACCTTTTCTTGATGAGTTGTAATACTAAAGCCCAAGAGTTGAGCATTTTTTCAACCAGGGCAGCAAACGCATGAAGTCAAATGTCTCTAAATACATTTATCCTTTGGTTTCCAATGAGGTAAAATATCTTAAATACAAGTTGACCCAAAGTCAATAAAACATTGTTTAAATGTTTTTCTTTCATTTTTCCTAATCGTTTGTCAACAAATATTTCATTGCTGTATCCTTTGCTTTAGATGCTTTTATAAAGAACAGAAAGGTCATAATTGGGTACAGAATCATCAAAAACTTAAAAAATCTTAGACTGAGTGACTGAGTAAATATTCCCAGATTATTGTTGGTGATGTTTTAAGATAAATTTGTGTAAAATCTGGCGTTTTGGGTAAGAATAATTAAATGCCCTTGATTCAGTCCCCTTTTTGCTTTGTTTATAGTAGTTGTGGCTCTAAAAGCTAACAGTTCTCTACTAGTCATCACCTGTATTCATTCCTTTCACATCATCCCGCATCTGATGTATCGTCACTGTGGCAGCTAGGTTTTTCACTCTCCTCCTTCCTCTCCCTTGTCCCTTTCTACCCTCCCTCTCTTTCAGGTAATAACTAGCAACCCAGTATTCAGTAAAAGTAGACTGAAAAGGAAACAAGTTCTGATGTGAGCAATTAGCCATAAATTCTCTCTCTTGTTTGTACTAAGTAGGGTCCTTGAAGTTTGCAAAAGAGCAAGCTTAAATAGCTAAATAAAAATGTCGTACTTACCTTAAAACGTGAAATTCTGTTTCTGACAGTGGGCTCCCCCGCCATGTTTCTTAAAGACAGGCTTTCTCAGTAAAGGGTCTCTTACGGGGCCCAGGGACGTTATCTGAGAGTGAACTTGTGGGGTCAGTGAGGCCCCAGGGATGTCAGTGGATGATAAGCTGAAGAAGGTCTTGAAGGGCTGTACAACATAGTGATGTCTGCACACATTCCTGGAACTGTAGCAGAGCGCAAAAAAATGTTCATGGCAATACACAAAAAACTGGGTGCTTGAATTCATGGTCGTGTGGCTGCGATTTGCAGACTAATGCCTACGCGACTTTGGGTGCAGGCTGTGCCTTGTCCTTGCCCACTTTGACATAATCTTCCAACCAAAAGGCATCTGAGGCTGACGAGCCCGAGGAGGTCGAGCTCTCATCTCGCTTCACCATCGTCCAGTACGGAGAAGGGGGCCGCACTTCCTTCTTCTGGTCTCTGTGGATCATCACGTCACAGTGCGCGTCCTTGCCCACGCTCACCGTGTGGCTCTTCTTCTTGTACCCGTGCCATTCCCTGGAGATGGACATTGGTCTCTTCGCGGACGGCTGCCCTTTTGACTTCGGCTGCTTGTAATACTCAAGCTTTTTGTCTGAAACTACATCTTCATTGTCGTCATTGCCCGCCAGAGGATCTTTTACCTGCTCACTCGTCGAGCTGAAATGAAAAGACTAGTGAATGGAATGGAGCCTTAAGGTCTAAACATTCATTGTTCCTTAACAAGACAACTGAGAATCTGCTTTGACTTCTGAAAGCATACAGTGTAGCTGAAATGCTGCAGTTTTTTCCTATTCTTAAATGTAAATCGTAATTCTTTCTTACGTTATTTCACAGCACTTCAAAAAGCTGTACATAGGCCTAACCCTGAACTGATTGCAGTGTTAAAGGACCTTGCAGGGGCATTAATTTTGCTCCATCCAGATTGATAGGTTCAACTCGGTCCTCTGGGTCAGCAGGAGATAGTGGGCCTCAAAGAGCTTCTGTGTGCTAATCACTGATAAATTCTTGCACTTTTCTGAGCATCACTCTTTGCCTCTTTTAGGTTTACAAGTGTGGATTTCTAGAATCTTAAGCAGATATTTCTCTTTATTCCCTATTCCACTTTTTTAATGCAATCCAAAAGCTTTTTATAGATTTTTGTGTGTGTGATTTGCCTCAATTATTGATTTTCTTGATTATTGAAACTTGGGTGATGCTTCTCTGCCAGTTATACAAGCTTCTTGAACTTTCTTAATGCCTGAGAACCTGTGCTGTTCCTTCCCTGGACAAGTGGGATCTGTCTGTCACCTGCCCACCCTCGTCCTGATGCCCACCTAGGTCTTGGATCTGTGCCTTTTATTCTCCCGTAAAGAAGTAGGACATCAGTTTCTTCCCCTTTGCCCTCACCCATCGTCAGGCTTACTAGTGTTTCTTCTAATGTCTGTGGCAGTCTCTGCCTCTCTTACTTCCTCCCAAGAATTTGAAGAGCTTTTCCTAAAATGTTTCACTTCTGGTGACATAAAATGGTACATCGTCATTTTTACTGAGTGCTTTTCTTTAACCCTTCACTTAGTGTTGGACTGGCATTTATCTGAGGAAAAAGATTTGAAGCAGGAATGTATGCCCATCGGATTTGCGTTATAAAAGGCTCATTCTGTGTAGGAATAAATGGGGGACAAGTAAATGCAGGGAAACCAAGAGTACTTTGGGGTATGGTAGTGGCTAGAGCGAAGTGGACAGTGTGAGAGATAGTAGGTAGAATGGCAAGTCAGTAGATACGGGGGAGGGGATGCAGCAAGAACTGGAGAAGTTAAGCATTATGTTTCCAACCTAATACAGTTGGAAGTGTGTGTGTGTGTGTGCGTGTGCGTGTGTGTGTGTGTGTGCGTGTGTGTGTAGTAATAGAAGACACAGACCCCATTGTGACTGCTCCGGAGATTGAGTAAAGGCAAAGATTAAAGATTAAACCTTCTGGCTCTACAAGGCTGAGTAAAAGGAGACCACGAGGAAGTGCCCAGAGGCCCAAGAAATCAGAGGAGTATGGGGTCACCAGCCCAGGCAAAATGATGTTTGCAAAGTGCAAAGCCCCTAAAGCTGGCAGAAGCCCAGCAGAGTAAAGACACGAGTCCATTGGGGTATCAACAGCACAAGGCTGCCAGCGTCCCTGGAGAACCCTCCTGCAAGGATGAAAGCAAGGCGGGGGCCGCCTGGGTGTGGATGCCCAAGAGGTGGCAGCCTGCTGCATTCTCAGCAGGGTCAGCATCAAGGGCCTGGCCAGTGGTTAGAGGAGGCACAGAGAAGAGAATGAAGGGGTTTGCTGTCTTGGTAGGGACTCTAATGGCTCAAATGTTATGGAGAAGGATCCAGAGAAAACCTGAGGAAATGGGATTAAAAGCAAGTGTTTAAGGCCAACTTGAGCAGGGGGTAACGCAGCAGTGGTTTGGAAGAAGCCCAGTTCCAGTGCAGTGGTTCTCTTTCCCTCAGGTTCAAGGCTCTTGCCTGTGTCCTCTGTCTCGCAGATTGTCCTTTCCAAAAGGACTTAGAAGCCTGTTACAGACCCTCCCCTGGTCTATCTCATAATGCTCATGTTAAGCCAACACCCTATGCTCCACAGACCATGGGGTTTCTGTAGCAGAACAAAGATTTCCTAAATTGAACTGCTTACCGTGTTACTGGGAACTTGGTCTCAGGAATTAAGTCATATATTTCTTGCCATTCTTGTGGTATTTCAATAAAATCCCGGTAAACCTTGACTTGTAGCACTGTTCCTATGGTGATATTTTGCAAAAGCTTTAAAAATTCTCGAAGCGTATATCCTAATACATTGGCATAGCCTACACTAATCAGAACATCACCTGGAAAGGAAAAAGTATCAGTAAATAAAGACAATGGTTTAAAGGCATCACACCATGTCTAACTTTACTGTGAGGAGTCTCATGCATTCATTTGTTGGTGATTTCTGGACCAAATCCAGGCTTCAGTCTTTATTTAGTAAAGGTGACCGTGGCAAGAACACAATGTCCTGTACATAGTGAAGGACACCGGTGGTGTAGCATGTCTTCACAACACTTCTAAGTCCTTGGTGTGACAGGCTAAAACCATTTATAACCTGAACCAGCCTGTAGGAGTCTAAAAATGTCTACCTCAAATAAAATGGTTTTTACTAGTAAAGAAAAATCACTTACACTAAGTGAGGAATGAACAGCCCCCTCTCTCACACCTGCCTAGCGATCCCCAGTGCCCTCCTCAGCAAATAGGACATTTAACACACCAAGGCTTTCGTTTTAGTTCTCTATTCTTGCACAGTATTAATTGAGCAACTAACTGCGTGCAACAGTGGACAGTTGGCAAGCTTCAATTAAGCGATGTATACAAGATTATGTTCAATCAGGAATTTGACAGGAGGCCCCTACTTTATGGCACTGTTGGGCAGGGAGGGACGCATGACAGTCAACCATGGGGCTTCTGAGTCCCCAGCAGGTGTGAAGAGAACTTCATGGTGACAGAACACCCACCCCGAAACTGGAAGTCAAAAAGCCCAATCATTCACTTGCACCCACTTCCTTACCAGCAGCTAAGACCTAGACGTGCAAACTAGAGCCATCAGGTGCTCCCACCTGGGTCACCCCCTCCTGCGGGGGGTGGGCAGGAGTGCCCAGGTTCCAGAGGTAGCTAAGGTGCCCTTTATTCTCTCATCATGTTTCAAGTCTTGTTCTCCAAACTTCCTGCTAATTCTGTCAGGCCTGACCTCCTGAGTTCAGTTCCTTAGCAGAACTGTTCTTACTGCTTGCAAGAACCCTGTCTGCTACAATGGAATTTAGCAAGAGGAGGAGGGATACAAAGAAATGGCATTTTTAAAGACAAGACACATGGGGTAAAATCTCAGTCTTTAGGTCTGTCTAGTACTAAAATGATGCCAAGTTTGGTAATGGGGACCCCTAGCTAACGTGGCATGAAGACACAAAGGATGTTTTACCTTTGCATGGGAAGCTGGGAATCCTTCAATTGCCCTCATTCCAAAATAGCTAAAGCCGAGCCTCAGAAGAGTGGGAATGAAATGTGTTCTGGGATACTGCACCCCACTGTGCTCTTGGGTATTAAACCTTCTCCTGAAGGAGGTCCCCAAGGAGTGCTAGGGACTGATTTCCATAATGCTAGGTCCTGTCTGAAGCACCAGTTCCCAGGAAACAAAATGAATACTTAGGAAGGTGGAGAAAATCTACTTTGGCCTTAAGGAAGTTAGGAGGGCTCTCCCTGGTAGTGCAGCGGGTTGAAGTGCAGCACTATGAAGCTCTCTGAAACCACTGCAGCACGAGTTCAATCCTCAGCCAGAGAGCTGACCCACATGGCACAGCAGGCCTCTCCTGACCCACCCGCTGCTCCCCTCAACAGTGTATTTTGGTCCATCTGCCTGTTCTGCTCCCTACTCTGTCTCTGGTGAATCCTCTCACCACCATCCTTCACACCTCTGGCCTGTACCCAGTTCTTGTATACATAAATAAATAAATCTTTGGAAAAAAAAAAGTTGGGAGTAAAACCAGCCACGGATGGGAGCTAACTCCATGATGAAACGAGGTAACCAGCCTCCCCACCCCGAGCAACCTGCAGAGTACACTGTACCAAACAGCTCTCACCCCATGAAGGTTCATTACAATGGGGGGAGAGAAAGCCCCCCCTGCCTAATGCTAAATGGAGTGTTTATAGCTGAAAGCTATGGCTTGGCATTCTGCTTAATTATGTTGTTAAAGGGTGACTTCTATCAAGAGGGCAGAAAATAAACAGCCTCATTCCCTGACCGTTTGGCTTTAAACCAAACGTGTCAGTGTACGAATGTGATTACGCTGGCAATGGATATTAACACTGCCCTTCATAAAGAAACACCAATTTGGGATTTATGAATACCAACCTCATTACACTCTTTCTGTTTTAACGGCTGTGGGAACCACATCATGTAAACCCTGTCTCCATTACCTATATGAAAGCAACTTCACAGCAGCCAAGCCACTGCTGAAAAAATAGATTTTATTTATTGCTTTCCATCTCTCACAACTAGGCTGTTGAGCTCCGTAAGTTTCTGTGTGACTAGGGACCACATGTGTTTGACTTGCCTTGTGGCCCTGCGCCAGCAGAATGACAGCACAGCCAGCGTTCAGGGAATACCCACTGCGAGGCTGGTGCCAGTCCATGACTTGTTACCCTACAGTAAACGAGTCATAACTATTTGTCCCATGCCAACCAGAAGGAATTTCAAGTGTAGCCAGACTAAACAAACACCCAAGCCAGCCATGAAATTAAGCTAAACCCCTACTAGGAAATACCAAAGAAAACGCTTTGAAAGCACCAGGATGAGAAATTATGGAGCTGGGAGTTCACAGGGTCAAGGAAATAGCAGGTTTCGGTTTCCAGGACTATCACTGCCCAGAATTCCATAATCATTGTCCAAGAGACTGAATTGCATTATCTTTGAAACCTAGGCCCTGAAACAGAATGATGGGGGTTCTGGACCTCCTCTGGACTGAAATCTCACTTCAGGTCACAGGGACAAGCTCTCTGGAGACACAGCGCTGCGTACTGACACGGTACAGAATGATGGGGGTTCTGGACCTCCTCTGGACTGAAATCTCACTTCAGGTCACAGGGACAAGCTCTCTGGAGACACAGCGCTGCGTACTGACACGGTACCACATCGCCCTTATACATCTCTCTCAGCCTCTCTGTTTCCTCCCTATCCAGGAGGTTGCAAAAGTTGGAATAGAAAGTGTGTGGAGATGACTTGCACAGTGCTTGGGACAAATACTTGAGTCATTTTAGGGAGGGCGCCAGCTCATGGGTGAACCCTGCATTTAACAGATGATTCCAGTATCCTGTGAACTCCAGGAGCGCGACCTGCAGCCCCGCCCGAGGCAGGTGCATGTGGGAGGGGCCAGCCCCACCCTGCTCTGCTGCTATCACCAGCCTCTCTCACCTGGCCCCTGGGAAGCCCCTGGGACCGTCCTGGAGTTCTTTTCCACCCTGAAGAGTCCAGAACTCTCTTTCTGGCAATTTGCTCCCCAGCACCACATAGGAATCTAGGGGAAAATGCTTTGGTAAACTACTTCATAATAATGGCTTCATCTACCTATTTTCTTCTTGAATCCACAGCTTCTGACCTGCAAAAAGGGCCAGCTGAGGAGTTTTAAACCATGACCTGCCCTTGGGGTGATGGGGACCATGTCTTAGTTTAGAAGTTCCTTGGACAGTAGCTGTGGTGACCAGAGTCCTGAAACAGTGGTTTCATCCACTGGGCTCCTGCCCCACAATCACTTATTTTTAAAAAAAAAAAAGTCTAGATCATCTCTAAGAACAACCTAAAAGCAACAACTGCCACAACACTGAGGTTTTCAAAGTACTTTCATAAAATTGATGCCAGCAAATCCTAGCAAGGTCTTTCAAAAGTGCTTTTATCCCAAAGTAAAGACCAAGAGGTGAAAGCCACAGACCTGGAAAGTGGCAACGCCTGGGCCTGAATACAGGCAGCTCACACTGAATGATTCCTTCTCTCCACTTTCCCTCTATGCCTCCCCGCTCCTGAGCACAGGCCTGGAACAGGCACCGGGAAAACACGTCTGGAACTGAACGGGAAGTTCATATATCCAAAGCCAAGAAAAGTAGGCCAGTGCTGACCACACTCCTGAGCTCTGTGGCCGAGGGTATATCACTAATACCTGACTCCTGGCCTTTCGGGGTTTGTGCAGACTCTACCTTAGGGGGTTGTCAGGAGGGCAAAACGACACATGCAGCTGATGTTAACGGTGACTAGTACAGCCTGCAGAAAAGGAACCTTTGTCCACAGAGGGCCACACGCCCTGGAGTGACCCTGAGCCTGGGTTTGGATCACGGGGTGGGTGTGACCTGGACAAGGAACTCCAGCTCCCTGAGCCTCAGTGCTCTCACTTGTAAAAGGAACACGAGGGCAATAATTGCTCTCGAGGGTTATTTTTAAAATTCCATGAATCGCGTGCCCCCCAGAGAGGGTGGCGTAAGTTGACAGCAGTCGGCTGGCCCATACAAGCCACGTCATTGGGGCTCCTCTGAAACCTGGCCTGAGTGTCTGGCCGCAGGGGGAGACGGGGTGGGCAGGTGGGGAGCACGGGGAGCCGCAGTCACCTGGCTTGAGTTTTCCATCACTGGCGGCTGCCCCCTTCCTGAGGATGTGGGTGATCTGCAGGTAGGGCCCGTGCTGGATGACGACCAGGCCTAGTCCCAGGCTGCCCACGGTCAGTTTGGTCTCCTGAGTTTTGCTCAAACTGTGAACGGATGGCTCGGTCTTGACCTTGACTTTTTTTTCTAAGCAAAAGAGAGGCATTTGTTTCAGTCCTTTGCCAAGAGAGCAGTCCCTGGGCTTCTAAAGTCAGACTCTCTATTCCTCAGCAGAGTGAGGATCCAGAACACACTGTGTTCTGGGGTTCACTGGGAGGGGTTCACTGGGGCCCTGGTGGGGCTTGTGCACGCTGCCATCTGCCCGTGTAGCCAAAGCTCCATCAGGGTCATTACCATCTATTCAGTCAACACTTATCAATGAAGGCAGTGTGCTGGAAACCAAGACAGCATTAGTGGGTCACATAAATAAATGTCAGAATTACAACATGGAACACATGCTGTCAAGGCAAAGTAGGGCGAGCTTAAGGATGAGCATAGGGGCCATAGTGGCCTGTGGGGGAAGGCAGGTCAGGCTTCCTGGGAGAGGTAAAAACTGAACTGAGCTAGAATAGACAGGTAAGAGATAGGCAAGGTAGGACAGAGCACACTGAATCGAGGTTCTGAACCAGAAAAGAAGACTCGGGAGACCAGTAGGGGGCAGACGGAGGAGCCAAGCACAGAGGCCCGGCTGTATGGCAACATAGTCTCCTCCAAAAAGCTAGAAAGGACTCAAGAACCGCCACCATCAGAATTGCCCCCCCCACACACACACCTGCTCCAGCGGTGGTGTGGGTGTGGATGGTGAGGTCCATGAGGAAATGGTGAGGAAATGAAAGTGGTCCCCAAACTCCAATCATGTCATGGCTCTGATGGGAAATGGGCAGTAGGAAAAGGCATCTGGGGGAGAAATAGGGGCCAATGGGCGAGTGAGCTGTTTCTACAGAAGCAAAAGGAAGAGTGATTCAAAACGAGCTCTTTTCCCATGAGGATGTTTCTGGGGACTCTCTTTTCAGCACATGGTGAGCTTCTGGGAACATTTGTTTTCAGCACACTTTTCCAGCATTTCACAGACATGCAACACTTTTTCTTAAGGACAAATTGCTGCTGCCAAACCTTGGCCAAAAGCACCCCACGTGCCGTTCTGGAGCCCCCCCCCCTTCGCTGAGGAAGGGATTCCTCATCACCCTCCCCACCCCCCAGCCCAGGGGACCTGGCCTGGACTGTTTCCTCCAGGCAGGTGTCCCTGACTGTCTCCAACCTCCCCTCCCCACAGGGCCAGGCTGGGGGTGGGGCTGGGGGAGCGCTCTTCCTGGGAACTAAAGGCCCTGACATTAGAAAGGTCCCATTTCAGCGACCGGTCAGGACAAGGGGTGCGACTCCAGGTCGCCCCTGTCCCCAGCCTCACCCGCAGGCGCACAGCCTCAGTGGGCATCTTAGACATAATCCAGTCCCAGTGACAGCGGGTTGGGGTGACAGGAGCCAGACTCAAAAGATTCCAGGCGACATGATTCCCTGTTTATGGCATTTTCTGTGGAAAGGGCCAAGCTGTAGGAAACAGAGCTGGCGTGTCAGGACCTGGGTGGGGGAGCGAGGGGGGCTCCCAGCAGCAGCACCCGGTCACTGGCGTCGGGGGCAGTCCCATGTCTGACTGCCGACATGGTTGAAAGTGGGTAGACGTCTGTCAAAGAGCTGTACCCTCAATGAAAAGGGCGGGGGAGGGGGGTTGCTGTACTGCACATTAACGGCACATTAGTCGGCCAATATTGGGAGCAGTGGCTGTTCGGGTGAAGAGTGTGTGCGCCCATTTTAGAACAGAAGAGGAAAGTGAAGAAGCCTTGACCCGAGGGTCAACAAGCCTCCCTCATCCCACCCGCCTTCACCTTTCTTGCTCTTGTCTTTTGTGGCCTTCTTCATGGGCCCAGGAAGCAGGCCGCTCGGGAGGGCCTCCTGAGGCTGTGGCAGCTAAAGTGGGTCCAACTCCCAACTGTCTGGAACCTGCAGGAGCCAGCGCTCAGCGGGTCAACGGCCCCGACCGCCGGGGCCGCCGGCCCAACCCTCGCGCAGGCCGCCAGGGGGCGCTGCGGCGGCGCCCCGGAGCCCGGGCGGGCCCCGCGGTCCCCAGGTCTCAGCCGGTGCAGCAAAATGCAGCGTCGGAAAACTGGTGGAGGAAAACAAAACTTCTGTGCGGACCACCGCGGCGCGTGGCTCGCATCTTCATTCTTGGCAAACCGTGCGGCGCGGCCGGGGGTGGAGGAAGCTCAGTGGAGCGTGTCTCGAAGATGCGAAACGCTCCTCGGCGCCAGGACAGCAGCGTCCCCAGCTGCGCAGGAATAATGGCATTGCAAACATTGCTGAAGCCACCGCTTCCACAGCCTTGGAGCCGTACTCTTCCCGTGCACGTTTGAAATGAGAAAAGGCCAGAGGCGGCCTGAAGAAAGAAATGAATCACAATTAGGAGAGGAATGAACTCTTCCTACTTTTTTCCCCAAAGTAATCCTCCCTCCGCACTCACTGGATTCGGAGAGATCTGCTCTGGGGTTGTATGTGATGCTGGGGACACCAGACGAGACCAGTTGGACCCCCTTGCAACGGAGACTGAGAAAACAGATGAAATGGACAATTTTAGGACCAATCAGTTATCAGAAACAAGTTCTAGAAGGAGAAAACAACGCAGTGAGGTCTGAGCTGGTGGCATCTCAGCTCTGGTAACAGGGACTAGGGGTGGAGTGCTCCCTGCAAAGGGTTACCCATCCCTGCCCGCTGCGCAGGCCTCATCAAGACTTGCAGGGAGAGGCAGGTCCCAGCCATGTTTCTGCAGCAGGCCCAGACAAAGCAGGAGAGCGGATTTCATGCTGGATGCGTCTGGAGGCGCAGAGGCTGATGCAAGGGAACTGAAAAGGCCTCCGAGTCCTGCTACTCCAACAGCCCAAGAGCCTGCTGGGCCACAGAGCCTTCTGCATGTGACTCCTCAGGCCTCCTCCAAACAGCCCAGTGAGACGTCTGTCCAGATGCCAAATTAATTCTCTCATAAATGCTTTTCCTCCATTCTCCTACCCAGCACAGAGCTGGTGAGGCTGTGTGGGCCACTTAGTGCCAGGTACACAGAGGCCAGCAAACTCCCCTCTGTCCCAGGCTGAAAACTATCATTCTCGGGGACCCCAGGTCACCCTGATCGGTGGAATTGCAGGATTCCAAGTGCTGTGCTGCCCAGACTCCCTGCAGGGCTGAAGGACATACCCACCTGCCTGCACCACAACCCTGCAGCTAGCTGAAGAGAACCCTCACCCCAGACCACACCTTCCCAAGAGGAGACTGGTTGGCACAGTGTGAACACTCGACAGCCTCAACCCAGCACCTCTGGCAGCCACCCTGCCTCTGAGCCCCTGCCCTGTCCACGGGTCTCCTGCTGTGGCCATAAGGCCACCCACCTTCCCCCTGCTGGTCCAGCTTCCTTCCCTCTGCCTCCAGCACTCTGGACTCCCCTAGCACTCTAGAAAATTCTCTGCAACTCAAGTGTTCTCTGAAGACCCCAGCCCTTAATGGACAGTGCCAGGGATGGTCTAAAAGAGCTGGTGCCTGGCCAGGTGAGGAGACGTGTAGGTAGCCTCTAGCCCAGGAAGCAGTGACATGGGTCAGCTTCTCAGCGCCTGTGCGCTGCTAGGGGGAGGGGTAAACTGGCAACTGTTATGTATCAGACATAGCTTAGGCCAAGCAAGCAGCAAGCAGGCAGGAGCCAGCCTGTACATAGGGCCAGGAGGAAGGTTGGCACCCCCAATCTCCACCGGGGTGTCTCTTACTACTCCCTAGTCCTGTTTTGACAGTAAGAGGGCAAAAGCAGCCGTACCTTAAGAAGCACGTGGCAAACCAGGAGCTCAACCTCCCCAGGCACGGAGGTCTGAGCCACCCCGCAAATAGCCCACCTAGACCAGGGACACTAGCAGAGGCCGAGAGGCCTCGAGAGAGGAGCAAGCGACTGGTGTGTCAGAAATGACTCCAGAGGAGCTGCGGCCGCAGCAGGGAACTACGGTTTGTCCCGCAGCCTTCCTCTTACAGGCTTCCTGCAGGAAAAGATCTCACCAGGTCCCAAAGGTGCTGCGCTCAGAACTAAAAGAAGCGAGTGGCTCCACATTGCCTGATGGTCACGGAGGCCTGCAAAGGCTGCTCTGGGCTGCCCAGCCCCCACCCACACCCCGCACGAGGGCCTGCTCCCCAGTAGCAGGAAGGCTGTAGCTTTATAGATGTCCGCTGCCAGGCCTCTCAAGGACTGCCCTGCCGAGGAGCGAGGAGCTGCCTTCCCCAAGGTCATGCCCCATTCCTGGATCGCTAGCATGAAGAGTTGGTCACCTTCACCCCAACTCAGAACAGCTCAAAACAGTCCTCCCAGCTTCAGAGATCCCTGCGGGCCTGCCAAAGCTCCAGTTTCTGCACCACGGTCGCACTGTCCCTCTATGTGATCCTGCTTCCTCTCCTCCCCCAGTGGAGCCTGCATGCACTCCCTAATAAACTTCCTGCAAGCTGATCGATAATCTCTCCTCTCTGAGTTAGCTCCAAGGAAACCCAATATGAGTCCAAAGGCGATTTGAGTCGGAGGCACAAACTGTTAACCAATAGATTCAGCTCTTTTGTTTTATGTAATCCCAGAAACCCCAGGTGCACGCGTGTATACCAAAGCACCACACTCCAGCCCTGGATGGCAAACTTGACCCACAGGGGGGCTGCATGCTCTTTATCTTGTCAGGCCAAAGAGGCTTCTTTAAAAAGAGTGATGAGACAGTCCCCTCTGTCCCCCTGAGGTCCCATCTGGAGGCACGAGACCTCCATCCATCACCATAAAGCAAGCTGTGCTCACAGCCGCAGAACAACTATTTATCACTTCAGGCTGTGAGCATAGTTCCCTCCTGGGGGCTTTAGCTCTGGGTTCTTCTGGGCCCCCAGGGATTTTCTGCCTTAAGGAGCTTCGTGACTCATGTTTCCTCTGAATAGAAAAGTCCTACGTGCCTTGCTCAGGGTGAGAGGCTGGGATACTTCTATCAAGGAAGCAGAGTGCCTGGCTCTGGGAGTCTGCTAGGTGAGACAGGGCAAAGAGGCCCAGGGAAGCGGCCTGGACTCCCGAATTCAGGTCCCAAGCAAGGTGGAGTTAGAACTAGGTTCTGTATTCTTTTCTTTCTAACACTCCACTTCTCCCCAAGCCCCCTGGTTTGCCTCTAGGAGACTAAGACAGATATAGAGAAGGGAACTGATTCTGTCCCATAGATCTCAGAGAGAGTTGGGACTTAAAACACCAGGCATGTTGAAAGGCAAGAACAAGCTATAAAGCTAAAACCAGAGATGAGCGATTAATCTGTAAACACACGTGTTACCTGCCTCAGGCAGTTAATGAGAAGAGATGGGATACGGATCTATTGTTTGTGGTGGTTTGCAGCCATTAACCTGGCAAAAACTGTTTTCCATTCTTTTAACTGCAGAGTAATTGTTTTATGTTCTAATCTTAGATCTAGAACATTTTGTGGAAGGAAGAGGCAGGTGGGATTGGGAAGTGCTGCCTGATAGAAGGAGGAATTCGTGCCTGTATTTTTTAAACCCAAGAATCAAGCAGCGATCATTACACTCAGTTGGAGTTAGAACAGGCACACATTTCACCGCAGGATTCTCATCAGCTTCCCAGTAGTGAACAACATGGGCATTACTTGAGAATTTAGAACTGTTTAGTTGGAGTTTTTTCATTTCAAACACTGGACAAGGAGCCAAGAATATAACTCCATCAAACTTCGCTGGTATTTAACAAAATAAAGAAAAAAGGGAAAAAACATGAAGCCCTCTCTTGTAATGTGATACACATTGTATCTATCCCTAAAATGTATAAATCAGCATGTCTCTACTTTTGTGGCAGGGGAAAAAAATAAATGCTATTAAAAAAAAAAAAAGTCCTCCCCTTTTCCCCAGAGACCAATGCTTGGACAGGAAAGTCTCCAGGCTGGCAATCAAGTCCCTTCTTACCCAATGCATGTGGGGGTGCTGATAACTGGTAGTGCATTTCTGCAAGGCTGTTGGATTTGGTGGAATTTGAGACTTGCTGAGTTTTGTGGACATGTAGGCATTCCAAAAATAGAGACATGTCACTTGTCTAGGTCTTTCAAGAGATGACCTAGGCTGGGCATTTAAAGAGAAATGTGGGCCTCAACTCCTGTTTGCTGCATGGGGAATTGACCACCCCGGAAAAAAAGAGCTGGATCTAAAGTCCGGCTTGGTGGTGATTTGGTCTATGGGTACACTAGACAGCACAGGCGTCGAGGGATGGATCATCTGCACCAATGACAGGTTATGCCAGTTCACAATTCAATGTGTTTGTTTATTCATCCAACCTAAGTCTGTGTCCCCACATTCCAATTAATAGGGTCACCAAACACCTGCCAACTCAGGACAAACTCTCAGGCTTCATTCCTTCCTCCTTTATCTCAGTCCCTCTCCCCATTATCAGGAGTCATTCCCTCTGCCTACAAATCATCCAAATCTGTCCATTCCACACACGCACACAGAACTTTATTTGTGTCAGAGTCACGGGGCGGCGAGAGGCTTCGCCAGAGACAGAGTGGGGTGCAGAATAGGCAGATCAACGAAGTACACTGCTGAGGGGAACAGCAGGCAGGTCAGGAGAGGTCTGCCCCGCCATGTGGTCACCGTCTGGCAGGTGGGAATCGAACTCATGCGGAAGCTTTTGCTTCTTAATGCTGTGCTTTCACCGGCTGCACCACCAGGAAGGGGCCCAGATTGTCTTTTAACGGGTATTCCCCGCTTTGACTCTTGCTCCTCTTTCCCTGCGACCCCCACCATGTTCACAGGTTGACCACGTTCACATCGCTCTCCTGCTGAACACCCTCCAGTGCCTTCCATTGCATGTGGAACAAAACCCAAAT